CCCCCCCCCACCCCATGTGAGCCCCACCTCCTTTTCCTCATTTGCCTGGAGCCGCCTCTGACAGGGGAAACTTCACACGTAGTTCCTCCCCTGAGATTGAAGGATGAGGTCCAGCAGGGAAACTTGTGACACTTTTTAGTTTGTTTGGGCTGCCTGGCACTCATGTCTTCTTCGACCATGTGTCCCTCCCCCCGGTGGCAATGACTAGCCCTCGCTTCCCTTGCCCTCCCCCGGGACCTGCTTCCTGAGCCTGGGTCACGCGCTGTCGAACGCCGGCCACCACGGGAAGGTCCAGCATGCCCATCTGGTGGGTTTTCCTGCTGGGGATCTGCAGCAGCCACGGGGAGCTTCCGTTCATCTCTGAGAACAATGCGGCAATGCTGGTGAACTGGTAAGTGAGGCCGATGCTCGGGGTCGGTCATGGCGAATGCTTGAAGGGCGCCGTCCTGGCTGTGTGACCTGCAGTTTAGGTGCTGGGCCAGTTCTACCAGCAGCACTCTGTCAATGGGAGGCAGTGAGCTACATCAGTAATGAAGAGGTCTCTGCTTTAATCCGTTTTATATATAGTCTGGAAAGTAGATCCCACCGTCAGATTTGCTGAAAATAGCCAACCTGTGCCAGCTTTCCTCAGTTGTCAGTTTCTGATCGATCTATTCTTGAAGTTGGCACAGAAGGTTTGCACCGCAGATTAAACTAATTAAAGCCAAGCCCACAATCGCTGTGGTGGTGGGGGGGTGACATAATGAGGGAACGCAGAACAATCCTGCGAAGGCAGCTGCCCACCTGGGATTGAAAAATGTAAACAGTCCAGGGAATCGTGGGTAGGCTTTTCTGGAGTCTCTCGTGCTCCAGTTCTCTCCTAAGCAGCAGACCACACACGTAGCCTGATGCTCCCCATGCATTCATAACCTTACAGCAGGAAGGTAATGCAGCAGGAAGGTAATGCAGCACTGCTTTATGTAAGAGAACAGAGCAGATGCCTTGTATGACGGTAGTGTTATCCAGTCCTGAGCCAGTGACATCACTCTCAAAATGTACAAACGATTAGAATTTTTTGCTTGGATTAACACAGAGTCCTGATAGCTGAAGGCTGGGATAAGCGTGCCCCCCCCGGCAATGTGTGGGCTCTCTTGTTCTCAAATCCTGGAGATTTAATTACTGTCTTCATCTGGCTGGATTGAAAAACATTCCTTTGGATTCTGCTGCTGGGCTGTTGTCTTTCAGAGAAGCAGATGAATTACAGAGCAAACAAACATGCCTCAATTAATATGATTACAGTCACAATAAAACTTTGGAGGGCGAGAGCACATGTACAGTAGAAGCGAATATGACTCGTGGTGTGACTCGTGGCCGGACACCAACGGCCACAGAGCCGACCCCGGCTAGTGAAGACGGCCAACAGGAGTCGACCCCGGCTAGTGAAGACGGCCAACAGGAGCCGACCCCGGCTAGTGAAGACGGCCA